CATCCTACCGGCGTTGGCTCCAGCCGACCACCCCTGTTGCTACGAGGCCACCGATTGGCCACCTTCTCCTTCGTGTGCTTCCTCAGCAGGTAGAACGCGTCCTGTCACCGCCACACACTGACATTTCTCCCCCTTTCACCAAGTACTGTGCCCTAATTACAGGATTAGTGCAATTGTAGGCACTCTTCCAAGGATCCAGCAGGCGCCTTTATTCTGCAGGAACAACAGGCCACCCTAGGAAGGGGGGTTAGAAATCAGCACGTCCTACAGTAGAGTCTGCCAGGGAGAGCATTAACCCACACTGATAGTTGAGTCACCGGGACCAGGCTTTAGGGCCAGCGTCTCAGTTGCTTTAATAAAGTCTTGAAAGTGGGAGGTTCTGGCCAGTTTCCATGGTCTGCACCTTGGCCCAGAGAGAAAGAGCTTGAGGAGTGAACCTCTTACCTCTGTTTGACTGGCAGCGATCAGCTCATGAGGCTACCACTTATTATCTACTATGCTTCTCATAGTCCTTGGAATAGACAGCATCTCTTCTCTCTAGATGAAGACACAAGTTCAGGCAGTGTTAGTGACTCACCCAAAGTCACACAGCTAGTGAGGAGGGGAACCCAGAGTCTAACCCCAGGGCAATGGGTTTCCCACTTTTACTGCTTCTGGGACCCAGCCCACCTCCAGATCAGCGGAAGCCATGGAGAGGCCCCCAGCTCTGGGCTCTGATACGTTCTGAGGGCACCACACCCCGGCTGGCCAATCCTGGACAGTCCCTTAAACTTCTCTGAGTTGGTTTCCTCACCTGGAACACAAATTGAAATACCTCTCATCTAGAGCCGTGAGCAGATGCGGTGAAGTAATACGTGACAAATGCACCTGACGGTAGGTGGCAGAAGATGGGGTGTGAGGTCATCACTGCCTGCCTCCTTGGCAGAGAAGAAAAAGGCAGGAGGGCCTCCATCCCCAGCCCAGGCCCCGTCCCAGCTCTCCCACCTTCCTTGGGAGCTGCCATTTTTCCAATTCATGGCAAACAGGAGCAGCAAAGACTTATGTTCACTGAACATTTCTGAAAAGGTTAAAATCTAAAAAGCCTCTTAGCTCTATGAACCTTGTGGACATGATGCTAAGTGCAATAAGCCAGTCACAAAAGAACAGATTCTGTATGGTTCCGCTTATATAAGGCACATCGAGCAAATTCATAGAGACAGAAAGTGAAATGGTGCTGGTTTTGGGGGGAGGAGGGATGGGGAGGTGTTTAATGGGGACAGAGTTTCAGTTTGACAAGATGAAGAGGCCTGCAGGTGGATGGTGGGGATGGTTGCATATCAATGAGAATGCGCTTAATGACACTGAACTGCACACTTAACAGTAATGAAGATGGTAAAAATTTTATGTTCTGTGTATTTTACCACAATGAAAAAAAATTCTGGGTGGGGGGACCTGCACATTTTGCTTAGGTTTTTTTGTTTGTTTGTTTGTTTGTTTGTTTGTTTTTTGTTTTTTTTTTTTTTTAGCTGTGGGAGCTCATTTCTGTATGGATTTGGTCTGATTTCAGCAGAGTTACATTTTAAGAGGTGGAGGGCTCAAATTAATATTTAAGGCACAGAATCACCTTTGGAAAATTCCTTAGTGAGTGAGAATAGGGCCAACACGGCAGGTTTTCCCTCTGGTGTTGGAACACTGTTTCTCTGAGCATCAGATGCAGTGGCTGATTTACATTCTGGGATCATAACAAAAGATATGATCTGAGTGACTCCTAGGGCAGCTATTCACACTGAGGTACTCTCAGAACCAGGGTCTGCTGGGAAAACAGCAGGTTCCCAGTCTCCCTCCTGGTGCTTTGGGGCACCAACAAGCAGAATGGCCAGAATCCTCAGCCCTGTTGAAAGTGTGTTCTTATTTCTCTTCTTTCCCTCATGCAGAGTTGAATGAATCCAAGCTGAATGAGTATGTGAAGTGACCCTACCAAGGTGGCCTTTGTCCAGTCAAAGAGAACTGGACACATGCATTACACTCACCCCTCTTTCCAGCTAACTCTGATGGAATTTCAACCCTAAATTGTTCTCTGACCTCTGACTGGATCTGTTGGCCATAGAAAAATAGACCTTTTCCCCCACCAGGTACCCCTGCAGGCCATATCTCACAGATACTCCCAGACACCTGCTCAAACCTGAAATTCTCCAGCTTTAAAGGATCTTTTCAGACCTAAGACCCAATTCTTTGGACCAAAATTCAAACCTAAACCATGAAGTTCCTATCTTTTCAAAGAACTCTATCTTCAAATTATAAAATACCCCCAGAGAAATGGTTCAATCAAGACTCCTCGAAGACCCTATTAGATAAAGCAATGGGTGTGAGTTGGCATTGTCTTTCAGACAAATTTGACTACCATCTCCTTCAGAAGAACCTTAGATAACACCTAGCCCACTTCCAGGCATGACTAAGGGCTCCATAACGAATGAATGACCAACTGCCCTGTGATGAGCCTGCCATCATTAATTTGGTGCTACTCTAAATCAATAGAATATTCTTAAAGATTTATTTATTTTAGAGAGAGAGAGAGAGAGAGAGCAGGGGTGGGGGCAGAGGGAGAGGGAGAGAATTTCAAGCAGACTCCCCATTGAGCGTGGATTCCAGGACCCCAAGACCACGACTGGAGCCAAAATCAAAGTCAGATAGATGCTTAACAGACTACGCCACCCAGGCGCCCCAATAGAATTTCTGATTGGCAATAAATTTGGGTTTTTATGCCCAAGGATTGAGAAGAAACTAAGAAACTGGGGGCTATGAACTTTAATCCCAATTTTGCCATTAAATACTTTGCTGATCCCTATGCAAGATATTTTATCATGATTTTTCTCATCTACAAAATTGGAAAGAAAAGGGACTTGTAGAAATACATTTAAAAAATGAAAGAGAAAAAAAAGAACAATAAAATGCTTACCGGTGAAGTCGCTTATTTTTCTACCAGGCAATGCACTGAATCCCAGATCTTAACAGGGGAAAAGTTGACACCGAGACCGTTTGTGTTCAGTTGCATAACAATAGAAAGGGTCCCTCTGGGATCTCATGGTTAATTTCTCCACGTCAGTTTGGTTCCAAGCACCAGGTGAAGGACATGGCTGAGCTTGAAGACACAAAACTGCGAAAACAATAACCCTTTGCAATGACAGAAAGAGTAAACAGTGAGAAGGAATTAAATATCGTGTCAAGTAGGAGGAGCTGAGGACCTGTCTTAGTGACAAAATGTTGTTAATGGAAAGGGCTCTGTGCTGGGAGCCTGAGATCCTGTGAGCTCCAATCCCCATCTCTGTCATTGCACAACTGTGAAACTGAGAATTCACTGACACTCTTCCAGACTTGTAAACTACTCAGCCAAGCTGCCCTGCTAATCCTTCGGGGCTGTCTGTACAGTACTAACAAAATTAGCACACAGATGAATTTTGGAAACTGTAAAGATGTTACCAGGTGTGGGGTTATTATCACTTCCCTTCCTCAAGAAAAAAAAAAACAAAAAACCCTGAGGCACCAAAAAGATCATGAGCCTTTTGTTAGTTCACTGAGCAGGGACTAGCTCCATATCCCCCCTACTCAACAGTACCTGAAGAGGCAGGACTTCCTTGTCGGTGGCTTGGGCTCCGGAGTCTGATTGTCTGGGTTTCTCATCTCAGCTCTGCCATTTATATGCTTTGTGATTTGACACAGTGACTGATTTCGTGAGCTTCTGCCTCTTCATCTCTAACTTGTGGATGATGATGGTGATATTACTTAACAGAGTTGCAGTGAAGAGTAACTGTAGCATGTTGATATACCCGTTAGAGATCAAATCTTTGTGCCCCGCCCTCCAAATTCGTATGTTGCAGCCCTTACCCCCAGTGTGATGGTATTTGGAGGTGGGCCTTTAGGAAGTAATTAGATTTTGAGGTCATAAGAGTGGGGCCCCCATCATGAGATTAATGTTCCTATGAAAAGAAAAGAAAGCTGACCTTTCTCTCTCCATCATGTGGGGATACAGCAAGAAGGTGGCCATTTGCAAGGCAGGAGAAGGTCCTCAGTAAGAATAGAATCAGCCCACCCCTTGATCTTGAACTTCTTGACCACAAGAACTATGAAAAATAAATGTCTATTGGTTAAGCTTCCCAGTCTGCGGTGTTTTATATGGCAGCTTGAGAAGACTAATACATACCTGAAGAGCTTAGAACAGTGCCTGGTTCATAGTAAAACATTCAGTAAATATTAGCATATATTTACATATTTATTTGGCTTTTTTGAAACTTTATTAAGAAATATTACAGGCAGGGGCGCCTGGGTGGCTCAGTGTGTTCAGTGTCCAACTCTTGGCTTCGGCTCAAATCATGATCTCATTGTCATGAGCTCCAAGTAGGGCTTAGCAGGGAGTCGGCTTGAGGATTTCTCTCTCTCTCTCCCTCTGCCCCTACTCCTGCTTGCTCTCTCTCTCTCAAATAAATAAAATCTTTAAAAAATATATTGCAGGCATTCTAAAATGTTTAAAGCCTTAAAGAATGATCTAACAGTATACCCACCACCCAACATAAGGTATAAAACATTACCCATACAGCTGAAGCCCCCCTAAACCTTCCCCAACCACCTTCTTTCCTTCCCACCCAGCGGTAATCATGCTCCTGAACTTGGCACTTACCACTGCCGTGCATTCCTTTATACTCTTACTCCACCCGTATGCATCTGTAAACAATGAGACTGAACCTGTAAGCCAGGACTGACATGTGCCTCTTCCAGAAGGATTTAGACATAGTATCTAGCCTAGCACAAAGTATTGTTTGGGAAACCCATCTGTCCCCATTCGTCATCTTGCTGTGTGTGTCTTTTCACCTTCCTGAGCAGGGAATGTGCCAATATCTCCAGGTGGACCAACTGATGATGCAAGCCATTAATTGGATCTCTTATCAGCGGGTCTGTGTTTGTCAGAGACTATGGAACTGCAACCCCCAGCCCAGCTCTTTGCTGATGCCTCCCCTCCTCCCTTCCAGATGGAGATGCGGCTGCAGGACCAGCAGCTGGCCAGACAGCTCATGCGCCTGCGCAGTGACATCAACAAGCTGAAGATCGAGCAGACCTGTGACCTGCATAGGAGGATGCTCAACGATGCCACCTACGAGCTGGAGGAACGGGACGAGCTGTCTGATCTCTTCTGTGACTCCCCACTCGCCTCCTCCTTCAGTCTCTCCACCCCACTCAAGCTCATTGGAGTCACCAAGATGAACATCAACTCCCGGAGGTTCTCTCTGTGCTGAGAAGCCCTAGAAGGGGGCGGAGGGGCCAGAGCAGAGTGTCTGGGAGGCAGGGAGGGGGCATGGGAAGGGTGTTGAGGCTGCGTTACCCTGAATGGGTCTCCCCAGAGGCAGGGCTTCCCTGTGGCTGGTGAACCGTGGGCCCTCAGACCCACGGCAGGTGCTCTCTCAGGGGGCCCCAACTGCGGAGCCCCACGACCCTCTGACTGTCCGTGACCCAAAGTGTTCTGCAGAAGGGCCGCTCCATCCAGATCTTCAGTGAGACCTGGCTCCCAGCATGACACGTCTCCATCCTCCCCTCACGGACACCCCATTCCTGTTTCCTGGAATCACTGGTGCTATGATCTGGGATCCCAGAGAGGGGCCCCCAAACGCTGTGATTCTTGCAGAAAGCTTCCCCAAGGGCACTGAGCATCCAGGAAGCAGGTGATTAGGTATGTCAGGTGAACCCATCTGCTGTTGCTGTCCTCTAAGTACAGGCTCAAATTCACCATAGACAGGTGACTCAGCAGCCCTGACAGGGACCCACCAGGAAAGGAAAACCAGGAGGAACGACAAAGTGGATCTCGGGACCGCAGGCCCTACAGCTGCTGGGAGTGCCTCTGCTGGGCGGCCGGTCCAGGCTGTGGCCACTCTTAGACCTTGGCACTACTGGTGCTACATCGATTGTTTTCAGCGCGAGCCAGGACACACCCGGGCAGCGTGGGTGGGGCAAACACAGATACCTTCTCTGTTGCCTGCCCTGGCCACACACCCCAATCCAAATCTCCAAAGAGCCCCTTTGTGGCCACCCTGTGCCACCCTGCACCTCCAGGGGAGTGCCCGAGTGAACTAGGCAAATCTGTCCGTGGATTTCCCATCACCGAATTCTCCTGGTGGTATCACCTTTGTCCCCCTCTTGCCCCGCCCCCCCACCCCCAGAAAGACTCGAGGGAGCTCAGGAGCTCACCCTGAGCCTCCTCTGACATTCTGTGCCTGATTTAAATCACTAATTTTAATTGAATCAGACGGTTACTAATCTGTTGCTAACTTGTTCACAACTGTTTGATTTTTGTCCACATGGTGATGCCAGTTGGGTAGGTCAAGTTCAGTAGTTTAGGATTTGATTTGAAAAGGTTCTCCCTACCAACAAGCATGAGGCTCAGCAAGGCGAAGACTGAGACCTCAACAGTGAGGAAAGTTAGCCTCGTGGAATGCCATGTGGCGCAGGTTCTCCGCCCAGCTGGGGGTGCCTTTTGACGTCATCTAGTTCAAGCCTTCTTGTTCAGAAAGGAGTCAAGTGAAACCAGGGAAAGAGGATGACTTCCCTCAGATTACACGGCTCCTTAGTGGCTACTATCAACAGGTTAAATCATTACTAAGAATGCCTAGACAGATCACGTATCAATGAACTTGAACCCCAAAGACGGTCCTAATGTTTTGCCAAACCCACAAACTGCCAAGCCCTCTACTCTCCACCTCACGCAGCCCCAACGCGTACCTCTCACTTTGCAATTCAGAATATTTGGGTCCAACTCAGAGCAATGCCTGGAAAGTGGACCCACAGAACACGTATTACCAGTCACACTTCCATGGTCGGAGTAAGGTGTCCTGATGTTCTTTCATGTTTCATCCTGTCGTATAGTCTCACTGGGGCCCGCGCACACTTCACACACACACACACACACACACACACACACACACACACACACACACTGACCCACACTGGGAAGGTTGTTTTTCTTTTGTGGGCTGGCAGTGCGAGGACGTGAATGAATGGTCCCTAGTTAGAAAAGAACTTGGTCTCTTTCTTGTGATTTCAAAGAGCCAGAGGCTTTATGCTTCCTTCGCAAAAGGTATAACAACGTAGATAAGAGGTGTTTTCTGCCTGACTCTGAGCAGTGACTGAAGTCCGAGGCCCAGAGGACTGGTCCACAGAAGAGACCTGGGTGGGACGCCAGACCTTTTAGACCTGCTCCCCCTGAGGCAGGAAGGGAGGGGGATTTTCTCGACCCCGAGCTGTCTCTCCTCAGGGATTCTGCACGAGCACTGCCAAGTCCTGTCGAGGTATTCTCGCCAGTCTACTCTGAGATACGTCCTTGAGATGGCAGGGGTCAGGGTGGCCTGCACACGCCACCCGCTCTGGAGAGGCACACAGGTACACATACACCCACACAGGAAAGCCCATTCCATCTTCTGAAAATGATGCCAAACTGGCTTTTTTTTTTTTTTCCTTTCTAGAAATCAGTCATTACAGGAATTGAAAAAATTGGATTCAACTGAAGTGGCTTTAGTTGATTTTGTCGATCCAATTGAATTGGTGTCAACTTTGGCAATTTAGTTGTCCAGCTCACCTAATGTCCCCTTCCTTTCTTTGTTCTCTGAGAGCAAACCGAGATTGAGGCACACTTTTTGGAATAGGTTAGACATCTCAGCTCTTTTGCTTAGTTCACCCCCAAGAGAATTTAATTTGGGGATGAGGATGGAGGAGAAAGGGGAAGGGACCAGAGATGAGAGTGGAGGGGGGTAGACTGGGTGCGTCTCCTTACTCATCATCCAGTGTCTGTTAGCTCCCTTATTCCCACAGGGAACACGAATAACTCCGCAGGTCAGCTCCCTGTTGTAAAGTCCCTGCCTTATGGGGGCTCAAGCGATGTCTATGGGTCCCCTGCAACCTAACCTGTGTTGCCAGCATCCTGGGGCCACCTTCTGGCTCACCACGTGTACACAATACTGTTTGTAGTTTAAATCATCATCTGCCCATCTCTGTGTCACCCCCAAGGACCGCGGGTATAAACCACGAGGTCTCCATAGACACCGCCATGCACGGCAGTGTGTGGTGCCTTCATGGACTCAGCAGAGATCACAGAGGCCCGGGGAGCCTGGGGAGGCTTGAGAGGGCCTGGGCCAGCCCCAGGGCCTCCTCCCTGTAGCAATATCAAGTGCTATTACATAATCGATGGACAATTTATAATCTTATTTTTTATGGTTCTTTGTTTCTATATTGCTGTTAGAAGAAGTGAAATAAAAATATTTCAAAAGAAGATACTATCTAAGGGGGAGAAATTTGTTTTCTTTTACCTCATTCCTATTATAGCACACAGAGAAAGAAAGAGAGAGAGGGAGAAGAGAGGGAGGAAGGGAGGAAAGATGGGTTTGGGGTTTACTTTGGGACATGTTTTGGGACAGACTTTGGAGGTAAAGCCAACAAGATACACCAATAGCTTGGATGTGGAGTGTGAAGGAAATGGAGGAATGAAGAACCACCCTCTGGCTGGCAGCTGACTGGAGGAGCTGCCATTTACTGAGATGAAGATGCTTTGAGGGGAGCATGATTGGGGCAGAGGGGCAAGACCAGTAGCTGTGTCTCAAGCATGATACATTTAAATGTCTATTAGACATCCCAGTGGGGAATGAGTAAGTGGTTGGCTATAGGGACCTGGACTTCAGGAAAAGGCCAGTGTTGGAGGCATAAATTTGGGATTCCGGATTTGGGTATTTGGATTATAGTAAAAGCGCCATGCCTGTATAAATTCCTCAAGGAGGAGAGAGAGGACATAAGAGAAAGGTGCAAAGTACCATATCCTGAGACTCTGACATCTAAAGGTCTGGAGACTGAATGGAAGGTGATGAGCAGACTATGAGGGGAGCAGAAGTGACCTTTCAGGGCTGGTGCGGCTTCTCCATTCAGGGACACAGCCTGACGCTACGCTAGCTGCCCGGTGGCCCTAGCCAAGGGTATTCCTCTGGGACTGGTCACGTCGGTCGCCACAGTGGCTTCCAGAACCTCCTGCAGATCTTTTTTTTTTTTTTTAAAGATTTTATTTATTTATTTGAGAGAGAGAGCGAATGAGAGATAGAAAGCACGAGAGGGAAGAGGGTCAGAGGGAGAAGCAGACTCCCTGCTGAGCAGGGAGCCCGATGCGGGACTCGATCCCGGGACTCCAGGATCATGACCTGAGCCGAAGGCAGTCGCTTAACCAACTGAGCCACCCAGGCGCCCGAACCTCCTGCAGATCTTATCTAGCTTATTTAGAAAGGGGGTTTTTGAACCCTGTTGACAACATTCCCTTTGGCTTCTCAGCAGAAGCAGAAGCCTGTCCCCCCTCCTGACTCTCTGGCAACCCAGATGGGCACCGGCAGCGCGGGCAAACTCCCCGGGCCAGCTTCACGGAGGGCACCCCCCCATCACTCCCCTGCCTCCCCGCTTCTCCACACAGCGATGGCTAAAATGCTAAGAAAGGATGACTTGCCAGAGAGCATCCAGGGTCCCAAGGCAAACCTGAGTGAGGGAATGACAAGCCAGCCTCCTCCGCTCCCCCTGGGGGAGCCTCGCCTCCCCAGGCTGCCGGCCTGGGCACCCAGGGAAGGGTCCGCCCGCCACACGGTGAGCCTCACCTGGAAGGGTGGCATGGGGCGGGGGCCAAACAACACTGTCCATCCTGTCACACCTGTACCAGTCAGGGTTGGAGCAGGAAGGAGGAAGCGGCGGCCAGCATTCCAGGAGGGGAAGGACCTGACACAGCGAATTGGGGGCTACAGAATCATCGGAAGGGTCTGGGAAGTGGTGGCTAGGAGAGGTCATCCTGAAAGTGTGCTAGATTTCAGCAGGCTCGGCAGGTGCCCTCGGCCGGGAAATAATGGCCTCACACGCCGTCATGGGCTTGGCTGTGTCCCCTCAAAATTCAAATGTTGAAGTCCCGGTGCCCCATAGCTCAGAATTTGACTGTATTTAGACATAGGGCCTTGAAAGAGGTAATTTAGGGGTACTTGGGTGGCTCAGTTGGTTAGGCGACTGCCTTCGGCTCGGGTCATGATCCTGGAGTCCCGGGATCGAGTCCCGCATCGGGCTCCCTGCTCAGCAGGGAGTCTGCTTCTCCCTCTCCCTCTGCCTGCCTCTCTGCCTACTTGTGCTCTCTCTCTATCTCTGTCAAATAAATAAATAAAATCTTAAAAAAAAAAAAAAAAGAAAGAGGTAATTTAGGTAAAGTGAGGTCACTAGCCTGGGGCCCAGTCCAAAAGGACTGGCGTCCTTACGGGAAGAGGACATCGGGACACAGACACACGCAGAGGGAAGACCGTGTGAGAACACAGGGAGAAGGCGGCTGTCTGCAAGCCGAGGAGAGAGGCCTCAGTAGACCCCACCCCTGCAGACACCCTGGTCCCAGACTTGCTGCCTCCAGCACTGTGAGACAGCACACGGCTGTAACTGAGGCCACAGGTCTGGGGAACGTGCTATGGCTCCAGCAGACTAAGACCCTTGCTGTTCCTCTTTCTCTCCCTCTTCCTCTAGCCCTGGCCCTTGCAGCTTGCACCTGGAAGTGATTGACATCACTCCTGCCCACATTTCTTTGGCCAGAACAAGTCACATGGCCCCACCAATCCTCCAGTGGGGGAGGAAGCGCAAGCTTACCACATGCCCAGTGCGGAGGAGAACTGGAATGTTCTGGACCAGGGTAGGAATGGCCACACCCACCACTCTTCCCCACCTCACCCTGAGCCACCTGCAAAACCCCATCGGCCTGTAGCCCTAAGGACACCTTGGCCAGCAGCCTCGAAGCAGTGGGACAGGCACCTGGGAGTGTGCAAGACGGTGCGGTGGGGGGCGAGAAGAAAAGATGAGGACTTCCGTGAATATTTTTCATCTCTTTCTTTCTATGTTCAGTATGTTTTAAACGGGCATAATGCATTGGTACAGTAACATTTTGTGAAGCGTGAATCTGTCGGGGGTGAGGGGATATGCACAAAACTTCTTACCAGTGGAGCGCAACATCAAACGTGTGGGCCGTAGCCTGCAGACACTGGTCCTGGATCTTACCCTGCTGCCCAACACTAGGCTGGGCCACACGGGACTCAGGGATCAATGCTTTTCTCCTGAGAGGCCGCACAGGGATGTCCTGTGACAGAGGTCCCTCACCAGCAGCTGGTCATTGCACTTGAGTCCTTTGGTAAATGATACAGCATTCCTTCCAGTTAGTTCTGGGCTCTGCGCCCCTTGACCACAGAGCAGAAAACAGAGGTGGGAGAGGAAGAAGAAGGAGGAAGAGATGGGGGGAAAGGGGGAGAAGGCCAAGAAAGAAGGCACAAGAGAAAGCGAAAGAGGGGAGGATTTTCTAAAGCATAGAGTTGGCACCAGTCAGAGAACATGAAATCCCCTCCCCTTCTTGTGCTGAATCCCCCACCTTTTTAATAAGGTCCTGGTCGATTCTTAGAACAGGGCCCAGAAATCACAGTTTCGGAGACTGAGTCCTGGGGGGCAGGCGTGGATCCAAGGCCCAGCAGCCAGAGGAATTGCCAGGCACCCCACAGCCTCTCGGAGTCCACACCCCAGCTGGAGCAAAGCGGCTGATCTCAGGGCTTGCTCTTCTTGTCTGCCAGGCCTTTGACAGGCCACCTCCTGCACAGCGGTCCCCAGGGCCCTGCTGCAATGACCAGAGCTCAGCTCAACAGAGGGAGGGGCACCTGGAAACCCCAGAGAGCCTGGGGGCCCGGCCACAGGGAGGGAGGAGGTCCCCACTGCTGCTTCCTGCAGGAGACAGAGGAACACAAAATGTCATCTGCTGAATCCCCCCTCCCGCCCACACCCCAGCCTAAAGTTGGAGTGAGCTCTGCTAACTCTAAGGAAAGACAAGACTGAAGGAACCATCATAAAAATGCCTCAGGGCGCCCCAGGAGATGGAACTAGATTTTCTAAGAGCAAGTTTCTGTTAGAAGTTTCCAGCCACTTCTATTTCTAGCAAGAGACAGTGAGTCTCCCTTAGAAAAACCTCCTGAGTGGTCCCTTTCAGGAAGTAGATGAAAGGCAAGTCAGCAAGCACTCCTCTCGGGGAGGGTGAGCCAGGACTCTTGGCCCTGACAAAGACCACCCTCCCCAGCTCCCGCTGTGACCGCTAGGAAGGAGTGGGCAAATGGTGTCGGGGTCTAGAAGCCTTCCAAAGAAAGAGGTCTCGACACCTTTACAGATTCTAAAGTATGGAAGCCTCTCTGATACCTCTAATACCGGATGTCTGACTCCTCCGGCGCGGGGGTGGGGAGGCTGGATGTCATCAGTCGCAGACTGCAGAACTGCAAGACATCTTTGCGGGGAGGGACGAGTCTAAGGAAAGAATGGAGAGGAGAGACACAGACTTGCCATGATGAAATGGAGCTCAGAATTCAATCCTCCAAAATATAAAAGGGGCCTCATACCGACCCCAAGCTGCTGAGGTGGGATACATCACATGCGGTCAGGGCAGAGGGCTTTCGGGATCAGAGCACGATCTTTTCCTAGTGCAAACAAAGAAGCAGGTCCAGGAGCTGAAGGGGCTGGCCAAGGTCACTGGCCAGTTGGTACAGAGCTGGAAATGCTTCCTGATCCTGGCGCTTCCTAATACCCTCTCTTCCCTGCAGCCTTCGTCCACCTCCCCATCGCTTGTCAGAACCTCTTCCCCTTGCCAGAACCTCGCAGAAGTCTGAGAAAACAAATCTGTGAAGTTCTGGAAACAAACGATTTTTTCACTTTGCCCTGGCGACCCACTGTGTTGCAGAAACCCTAAAGTGCCCTCTGCTGGAGAAGCTGAGGAATCAAGTCACACGTGGATTCCGCACCCCACCCCCGCCCCCACCCCCACCCCCACCCCCCCCCCCGAGCTTCTGCAACACCAGGCACTTACACCTTGATAGTTGCTGACTTTCTTGGTGTGTGCGACCATCATCACTGTCCATGTTTGCTAAAAATTCAAAGTTCAGACACTATTTCCGCCACTCAAAACCCAAAATCTCTAGTTGGAGCACTCTGTCACCATGTACTCAACCTGCTAATATTTTTTAATATCTAGTTTGTTCCAAGCACTGCGCCAATTCCAAACACTTTGGTTTCTTTCATTCTATCTAAAGTGAAACTCAGGACTCCTGGATGGCTCGGTCGGTGAAGCGTCGTCTGCCTTCGGCTCAGGTCACGATCCCAAGGTTCTGGGATCGAGTCCCGCCTCAGGCTTCTTGCTCATCAGGGAGCCTGCTTCTCCCTCTGCCTGCCTCTCACCCTGCTTGTGCTCTCTCTCCCTCT